AGAGAGAGAGAGAGAGAGGGGGGGGGTAAGTGAGAAAAGGAAAAGTTTAAAAGAAACATTGTCAATAATAAACTTATTTTGCTGGTACATTTGCTTTTATACGATTTTTAAAAATCCCCAGAACTGCTTCAACTCTGAGAAATCAGTGACAGATGCGGGTAGTATGCCCTACTCAGAGTACAAGAACAAAATGTGTGACACCATGACAGACGCCAAGAGCTGCTTTCTGAAAAAGAAAAACGAGTAAGCGGTCCTCATGCTCATCATTGTTATTGTTGTTGTTAAATGCAGCCGCTATCGCTATTGCGTCTCACTGTGGAACAAAGACATTGATTATAATATTATACTATGGCACTGTCATTGTCGGTGTTCTCTCTATAATAACTTCGCTGCAAAGCGTGAGCAAAGTGAGCGCACAAATAACTGGGTATACGTGTACACTAGTCTCGCAATTGTCGAACGTCCTCTTTTTGTCTTCCATTTTGGAACCAAATTGATTCAAATGATGCACTCCATAGTAGGCCGTAAGTAGGTCAGAGTGCAGGGTCTAAAATATCGTAATACAAGTCTATTCAGTGAATTAATAACCACACAATCCTTTAATGAGGCGGAATAGAATTAGAATAATAATATTGTGTCGTCAGTCTGGTTTTCCTTTGTTTGAGTTTTGGCTGTATTTTTTTCCTTGTTAGTTTGTTGTTGTTTTTTTCTCTTTTATCCCATTTGCCTGTCTCACTATATCGAGTCGTTAAGTGTGATTTCGATTTCCGTGAGAGAAAGGTTTTCTTTTCTTTTTTAAAATATTATTATTAGGGTAACGAGGATCTCCGTCTGTCTGCAGAGATGTTTCTTTTAACCCATTCAGCCTCATGGTCTGAACAGACCGACTCTATATCGTCTGCGTTGTGCCGATTAAGACGTACTGCAATCTGTCAGTCAGTCACTGGCGTTTTTGATATTGGGGAAAACATCAAATGGAAGGATGATTGCGCTCGAAAAAGGGGGAAGTGCAGCGTGGGAAGCCTATGCATTTGATTACAGCACAGTACTCGAATAACAAATTAGACTTTTTAACCATACCATACCATCCATACCATACCATACCATACCATACCATACCATACCGTACCCTCCCCTCCCCTACCCTACCATACCAAACCCTGCCCTGCCATACCATATCATACCATACCATATCATACCAGACTATACCAGAACATATCATACCATACACGCCACTCCATAACAGCCTTTACCAGACATCTACGTTTGTGGTTTGCCATTATAATGCATACTATTAATGTATTTATGTCACAACGTGGTGGAAAAAGGCTCTCGTTAATTTCTGGGCATAAAAGGTTACTGGTACCATCTGATAGCTTGTTCATTTGACTTCCTTAAGGTGAAAAAATACCCTTCTATCTTGAATAGAAGTCGAGATATTTGCGATGGAAGGAGGTCAGGGTCGCCTGGTTTCAGAGGTAAAATTAGCGAGAAAATGGCCGCCAAAGTTTTGTAACTTTCAGAGCCTGATAGTCATTGGGAACTGAAAATTTGCTTTTTTTGTACCTTTGATAAATGTTTTTTAAAAAGTACAATCTACAAAAAAATGTGTTTTTCAATGAATATAAAACATGAAGAAACAAAAAAAAAGAGAATTTGAAAAACCTTGCCCTTATTAAAAAATGCAGATTTCTTTGATTTCATTATTTTGACGAGTACCTGATTTTACCACGATACCTCACATTTCATTGTATCTATATTTCAGCGCCGTGTGCACACAGAAGGAGTATGAGAGCTTCCAAAGTTCCGTGTGCCCACCGTCAGCTGCCGCCACAACAACCACTGCTTGGTTTCTCTTACCTCTGGCTGCACTAACACAGGTATACGTCGAATAGGTTGTGCACACTACGCGACATCTCTCGACTTAACAGGGTTTGCACGATGGTGGTTGACATTAAATGTACCTGTAGATGTGTTTAGCCTCTGAACGACACAATTTCGATCACTCAAGAAGCGAGTAGGGATAAATGAACAAACAAATCCAGGAACTGATGTTAATTTCCCTCATACGTAAATTCTCAACTACAGGGTAAGAAAATAAAACATCATTGATTTTGTTGATCAGAATAGTTAATACAAGTAATACAGCACACACGAGTCAACCCCCCTCCCCTCTGTCTCTCTGTCTCTTTCACTCTTTATCTCCCCCTCTCTCTCTCTCTCTCTAATCTCTCTCTCTCTCTCTCTCTCTCTCTCTCTCTCTCTCTCTCTCCCTCTCTCTCTCTCTCACACACACAAACACACACACACACACACACACACACACACAGTGATACACACAACCAAACACACACACACACACACACACACACACACACACACACACACACACACACACACACAGAGATCACACTTGCATACAGCCAATCACATAGACACGAAATATCATTGGATGAACTTAGAAAGTTGAATTTTGTTCAAGCAGATAACAAACACTAAAGAGCTGGTAGACAATCCATTAAAATACGCTTTCACCCACAGGATAAAAGAATTCCCTTCGTGGGTGGTTGGCGTGTGCTCTGGTGTGGTTTGCTTCTTTTTTCTTATGAAGCATCTATCGTCTTTATCTCCCCGTCTTCTTTTTTTTTATGTATGTTACTCTCTTGTGACACCTCTAATCTTCTGGCGCTTATATGACCTTATGCAGTTGCGAGCGCTGTAAAACCTCTACTAAAACTAAACTAAACAGAACTCCCTTCTTACCGCACGATACAAGCAGCAGTTTCAGGAAGTGTTGGGTCAGTTCGACTGTGTTCTTTGACAAATCATGACCGTTGACCAAGTTTGTAAGTTGACCAGGTGAAAGTATAATGTTTAAAAGTAAATCTGCAGCGCCATTCATACACTTAATTAAAATGCGGCTGTCCTTCATGGCATCAAAGAGAGCGAACAAGAAGACCCCCACAGATCGTGATTAATGGTATAATAGCAGTTTAGTCTTGCCCAAGCACTGACCGACAAGATCTTATATGCCTTCAACACCGTCGATTCTGCCTGCGAATGTGGAGAAGAGGTTTGGCACTTCGTCTTCGCATACAGAAGATTTGAGTTCGGCTCTGTATGTGGAAGATTTTAACATCTAGAATCTCAGTCAGTTTGCTGTGACGCGTCCCTCTCAGCTCTGGGGGGCCCTGGCAGGCATAATAGAAGCAACCCACCTCCTAAATAATCTACTTTGAATCGATTGGAACGGAGAATATCATACCTACAATTTGTTGTCGTCGAATTTATTTTCTTTGGTAAATATTTTAACAAGTGCTTGAAAATATCCATATCACAATTATTGCAAACACTATAATTTGATTCCCCCATCTCCTCCCTTTATAGAGAGTTACTTATTTTCGTTAACGTTTCCCTACATTCCATGTATGAAGTGTGCGTGATTGGAGGGCGCTTTTGGGAGGTCATATTTATTTATATAGTCTTTCTGTTGTTTTAGTCTGCAGAATATTATTTTTTAGTAGCACTAAATTACCATTATGGTAATTGTACGCCTGCATTAATAAAAAAGAAAAATAAAGGAAACAAAAATTCGACCGAAAATCACATTTTGATCATATGAACTTAAAGTTAATAGTATAATAGTATATTATTGTCTGTGCGTTTTTCTTAATTTTCGCCCTTTTCTTCCGCAGTATCTCAGCAGACAACTTTTCTGAGACTGGGGTAACAAGATGCCGCTTCCTCCCCCGCCCCGTATTTTTACCTTACCCTGTTATTGCATTGGTCTGTTATAGATTCCGAGCTGCTGTGCCTGGAGACCATTTTCTACTTTCCTATAGCTTTTACGTGTTTAATAGTTAAGATACTAAACAGGCTTTCTCTTGCCAGTAACGCATCTTTTGTGTTACTTTCATGGGTGTAGGCATGAGACATTATTGCTTGTTTCATACACTTTGCTTCATATCTTACCATAACATTTTATTTGCAATATAAATATTGAATTTTGTCCAATATTATTTATAAGATAGGGAGCTCTTTCATTTAAGTACGAAAAATCCTCCTCTACAGTCTAACGTACGGCATATTTTGTTCTAAAAAAACTGCGCACTCAGTACTTTTTGTAGTGCGTGGCATAATTTGGATACAAGGAGCAAAGGGACATTGTTCCATGAACCATTTTACTTCAGAAACAAAACAAAAATGTGTTCTCAGCACTGGTGGCAACATCTACATTACCCAATGGAGGACTCTTTTTTCAGAAGTGACGTACCTTGTATACATTTCTTGGCCTTAGCAACGGATATCTCTTCCGGCCTTTATCCCTCCTAGATTTAGATCTATTCTTATCCGGTCTTAAGTCCCAGCTAGTTTATTGATGTTCGGCACATTTTTGAAAGGTATTCCGTTTAGAGGTTCTTCATATTGTGAAAAGCAGCTTCTGTTTGTGCCAGTTTCATTTTATATAATGATTATTTAGAAAAAAACCCCCACAAAACAAAATGTTATTCGCATTAATGGCTGTGATGTTTATGCAATACACCGAGGACCTCCTGCAGCTAAATTTAAGAAGTTCTCAGATCTTTCGCTGGACGTCCTATTCGAAGGTACGAGGCAGGCAATATTTTTAGTGGAGTCTAGTGTAGGGCTTTTCGGTAAGAGTAAATTTCGAAGCCCCACTGCCAACCAATCTCTCCTTCTGAACTCTTTCTGGACGTATCGCCTATATATTGGCAGTGATGGGGTGCGTCAGTATTGTTTCGTTTTAACATGATCCGTCATTTATAATTACTGTGTATTGTTATTGAAAACTTGGAAAAGATTTAGGAAACAAAAATATCTACTTTCACTTTTCCGTTTCCAAGGGCTCTCAGGCTCTGGGAAGAGTTAAGATGAGAAAAAATGTAAACAATGCAGTTCCGAGTAGAACATTCCAGTATTTCCAGTTTCCTTTAATTGTCAACACGTTCACCCCCAGTTGAGTCATCTTGTTCCATGTT